CCTAATCAATCAACTTCCTGTTGAAAGTAATGTTGAAAATTGTTTTATAGAAGAAGCTTTAAAATTCATTGGAATAGTCGCATCTCGCCAAATTAACCGGGCGCTAGCCGATTTGCATACGTCTAGGTCGGTCCCGAAGGGCGGCATACGGACCGCAAGTTACCATTAACCGACATTTCTCTCAGATTATTTACGATGGTATGCCCTTTGGTTAATTCCTTCATTTCGACCCATGAATCAATGCCATAACATTTGCATACAGTTTGGGTGGGCGAATTTAGACTTATTCGAAGGTCACTTTACATCATTGACCTGTATGTACAAGATTATCTACGAAGCTCCCAAATTTCGATCAAGGTTAGTTAAGCATAAACTATGCATGGAATAATGATTTGCATACGATTTGCGAGTTGCGGGGATTACATTTAGCCCAGTAAAATTAGCAAAAATGGCGGCAAAATTCGTTCAACACCCTGTAAGAGCTCAAGATATCGACAATCAAATTCTTTCTAACTTTAGAACTTACACAAAACTCGTCCCGATTTACCCGTTTCGAGTTATTCGAGGTCGAAGTTTCGAAAAATCAGTTTTTGGTTCAAAAACCACTAAGAAACTAATTATTATGTCTGTACGACGCGTCTGAACTGCCATCCTAAAAAAACTTTTTTTTCACGGATATTTGCCTAATTTACTGTTGATCTCCTAATTCACAGTTGCAACTATTAATTATGCAAGTACTCGTGAAAAAAAAAGTTTTTTCAGGATGGCAGTTCAAAAGCGTCATAGAGTTGGCCTAAAAACTAAAAAAATATATTTTCAACTCAAAACTTGAAGAAATATGTATTTTTTTTTTAATTTTTATCTTGATCTACAGGGTGACGTATTACATAAAGGAAACGAAATACAAGGAAAAAACCGCAAAAATGCGATATCTCAAGTTTTGTTCTTGTGATTTCGGTGATGGAAATATTCTCTCAAGGAGGCTATGAATCAATTTTCAGTTACACTTTTATTGACCGGGCGGCCCGAGCCTTCGAGTAACTGGCACACAGCTCCACTCTGTTACAGCTGCTATTCACAAAATGAGTGTACCTACTCATTCGATTAATTGTTCTCAAAACACATATCACCCTGTGAAAAGCTTTAATTCCGCCTTTGGCTCCAAATTCTTTACCTTGGAGAACACCGTATACACGGAGAAAAATGAATCGTTGATTCCTCACACCACCATTTATTTACGAACTGATTTATTTCACGAAAGGGAACGAACACTCATTTATAACAAACATATAACTACTATTTATGTCGAACCATTTATATCACGCGGTATATGGCTGTCTCTTTGACAATCACTGACCACCTGCTGTCCTGTCGTCCTTATATATCAGATGATTTGGCTGGCTATATGCTTGTCGAATGTTCCCGAAAATCATCGGTACCCTTCTTTTGTACCCGAAGCTTCTCATAGAAAAGTATCTCTCTCTCTCTCTCTAATAGTTCCATCGATTGTTTTGAGATATTTCTGTCGCTGCGACACATATTGGGTGTTCGAAAATATGCTGATTCATGTTAGAATTATTGGGATACTCGGGAACAATCTGATACGCGTGATACAGGAAGATCGTTATACGCCTTCTTGATGATGTTCGAGCGCCTCTCAGGGGAATATTACAATATCGTTCATGAAAATAACAAAAAACATGGGATCCAAGATTGATCCTTTAGGAACTCCCATTGTAACTCCAAGAGGATCAGATTCATAGAATCCAACAAGACTATCTGCAGGGGCGTATTTACCTAAGGGCCAAAAGGGCCATGGCCCGGGGCGGCAGGCTGCGAGGGGCGGCGCAAGCCGCACCACGCTTAGGTTTTTTTTTTACTTTATTCCTCCGAAGAAATTAGCGTCGGCGGCACCACAGTTAGATTACTCCGTGTCGGAACCTTTGATGTCGATGTTCCAATTTTACCTCTCACTCACATGCACTCCTGGGAAACAAAGTCAACAAATTCTGGGTGCGCAAAGCATTTTTTGTCATTTATTGCGAGCGGTGATGGTATTGTATCCGATGGCTCCGCCTCCATGCGCGTGGGAAACAGATTCCAGTTGCGCAGAGGATAAATTGGACCATGCAAAAGGACTGAGTAGTGAGTAAGCTAACTGATTCTTTTAGCAATAAAGGGACGATGCTTGTACCAGCCTTAATAATGATTGGAGCCAGATAATAGCGGCTCTTGAAACTATAAGAAGTGACTCTGCATACCACAAAGCCTTGGTTAAAAATGAAGCGGCTGGGCTATTAGCTCAACTGAATTCTCTAGAAACTGCCATATTATCGGAATTTTGGGGATCTGTATTAAAACGATTTGGTATAGTTTCCAAAATACTACAAGGTGTCGACACAGACGTAGAAGTAGTTTCCAGGCTTTAAAAGTCACTCATTACTTTTGTAGAAGAACAACGGGAATCTTTTGATACTTTTGAAAAGAAAATGCACAGAAGAGTACCGGAACATTCACAATAGATTTGTCAAGAGAAAGAAACGAGACGATGAGAGTAGCGAGGGAGAAGTGGTGTTTCAAGGACGGGATCATTTCAGGGTTAATACCTTCTTTCCAATATGCGACCGATTATTGGGCGAGTTAAGGAAGCGAAAAACTTCGTATGAGGCGGTCACCGCCAATTTTGCATTTTTATGCAAATTGGATACAATGTCTGCTTCAGAAGTGAGATTAAATGCCATAAAACTCCAAAAAGTTTACCCTATTGATCTGGCGGATGATTTACAAGAAGAATGTGTTCTCTTAAAACAATTCCTGACGTCTCATGAAAATAAAATGAGTTTAAGGCAACTCAGCTTATTTATTAAGCAAGAAGATTTGAAGGAAGCATTTCCATATATTGAAATAGCATTACGAATATTTCTGTGCACTGCGGTGACCAATTGCAGTGCAGAACGGTCATTTTCTGTACTTAAAAGAATAAAAAATTATTTACGTTCTCGTTTAAGCGAAGAACGTTTGAATAGTTTAGCTATTCTCAATATAGAAGCTGAACTGACAAATTTCATTAATTATGACAGTGTTATTGACGAATTTGTTAACCAATCTGTCCATCGAAAGAAAATGTAAATATCGAATAAATAGTGTTTATTTCTTTCTTTGGCCTTCTTAATTTTTCCATTCATTATTATTATTCTCAACCCAATAGACTGCTGGCTTTCATTTCATGATTTAATGTTTTGCTCATTTTCCGTTGATTTATGGGGCGGCAAACCCTACAGGCCCGGGGCGCTGAATATTGAAATACGCCCCTGACTATCTGCCGGTTCTGCAAATGAGATGCGCCCCCTGACATCCCCCCTAGAGTCATCCTCTATCATCCCCGGCCCCCGGCACTAGTAGTAGGTGCCAGATTCGAGCTTAGTGACCCCGAAACCTCCCTGAGAGCCCTTGGCACTCGATCATCCTGGAATTACCAGTTTCAGAAAAACTGAAAAAAATAGACTCCCTATAGCAAAATCGACGTATGCTCACAATACATTCGTATGCAAACGCTATTTTCTTATTCAGTATAACTGAATCTATCACCTGATTGAATGGCATACAAAATTATATAATCTTGATATACAGGGTGATTCAAAAGTAAGCGGCATCCTTTCAGAGGCGTATTCCTTGCATGAAAATAAGGCAAAAAGTTCCTATTGATAAGGATCCGAAAATGCTTCCTAAGGGAGCTACGGCCCTTTGAATAGGACACCTCAAAGACGGTTTTTTCTCTATAACTTTAAAATCCTTCACAACAAATTTTTAAAAATTGGTGTACGGCATAAACATTCGATGGTAAATAGGACTCCGTATTCGAAATAATTTCCAAACGAAATCACAGTAACCTGAATATCCGGAGAAGAAGGGATATTTTTACACTTACCCTCTCCCGCATGTGACGCCCCTGAATGAAATTCTGAAATTTCGAATACGGAGTCCTATTTACCATCGAATGTTTATGCCGTACACCAATTTTTAAAAATTTGTTGTGAAGGATTTTAAAGTTATAGAGAAAAAACCGTCTTTGAGGTGTCCTATTCAAAGGGCCGTAGCTCCCTTAGGAAGCATTTTCGGATCCTTATCAATAGGAACTTTTTGCCTTATTTTCAAGCAAGGAATACGCCTCTGAAAGGATGCCGCTTACTTTTGAATCACCCTGTATATAATCGATGATGTAAAGTGACCTTCGAATATGTCTAAATTCGCCCACACAAACTGTATGCAAATGTTATGGCATTGATTCATGGGTCGAAATGAAGGAATTAACCAAAGGGCATACCATCGTAAATAATCTAAGAGAAATGTCGGTTAACGGTAACTTGCGGTCCGTATGCCGCCCTTCGGGACCGACCAAGACGTATGCAAATAGGCCCGGTTAATTTGGCGAAATGCGACTATTCCAATGAATTTTAAAGCTTCTTCTATAATACAATTTTCAACATTACTTTCAACAGGAAGTTGATTGATTAGGGAGATGGGCGACCGGGTACCGATCCAACTAACCACTTTTTTCCCGATAATCCAACTCAATCTTCATGTCTCTTGAAGGGCATACCTTCGTCGATAATCGACACCCCTAGTGTTATGGGCCAACGGTCTATTATATACGATATGACATATATATTGTGTATATTTCAGTACACTCCTACTGTAGAAGTAAATTCTTTTCTATGTAAAATGTGGAAACATGTTCATTGGTTCCTGAGCCATAAAACACTAATAGTGCTTATCGGTATGTCATGTCATTAAAAGCTAACGTTTTTGAGAGGTGCGTATGATTATTTTTCATAGAAAAAAATATTCGTGATGATTTTAAATAATGTACGACTTTATCAAATACTATATCATTACAAGGAATGATCAAAATAAAATAGATATATTGCACAAATTCGACTAGAGCCCCATTCTATGCTTCTCTTTTATGTAATTCACTTTCACTAGGAAGAGTATTATAGTTTCAGGCAATCATGGACCAACTCTTCGCCACCTTTTGTGGGATTTCAACTAGCAACTTTTCTGAACTTTCTGGAGGAGTCTTCAGTTGGTTAGAAGAATATTGTAAACCACAAACATTGAAAGATACAGTGGTTAATATATTACATAGACACCACAGCCAAATAAGAAGCTAAACAATTTAACCTATATTAATAGTTACTACAGATTTTTTAATGATGCAGCTATATGTAAATATAAAATAATGCTATGAAAACAAGAAGTAGAAATGAACATTTGAAAACGTTATCTGGTGCAAAATCAATTATGAGCTGAGAAGTTGAAGATTTACTGTGATATAAATCCACATACTTATTCTAAATTTTATGGAAAACTATTTCTACTTCTAATTATTTTATTATCATCATTATAAGGTTTTTATATATTTTATTTAATGTTATAGGAGTTTATTTTTCGATGTAGCAATGTATACCTAGAAATCAATAAAGAAAAATAATGTTGAAATTTTTTTACTGCCAAATATCTAGAATCTAGATTAGGAAATGTTCAAAATATAATGAAAGTTCAAGATAAAAATATATTTCTGTTAATTATTGTTGAAGAACCACTCAACGAGGATTCAAGATATTCTGGTGAGCTACAGAATATCTAGGTATTATATTGCTGATTCCATGTCTAGTGACTCCGGTAACAGGACAGCATTGCATATTATTTGCTCAAAAACGTATTTTTTGTTGATATACAACGAGAAATATGAAAATCTGGAATAACACCCTCAATGAAAGTCTTATCTAGTTTTATGCAAAAATATGAAACGGAAATTTAGTACAAAGAAGTTCATCTTGTTGAAACTTGATAAAACGTCCTTCTTCAAAAAAACATGAATGGACTCAATTTTGGAATTTTGATTCGGAATATTCGGATACTCAACAGAGATTCTGCTCTCAATAAATCCATATTGTTGATCCATATCCATAAAGGAACAGTGCCGGATTTAGGGAAGGGGCTATGGAACTATCAGCCCCCGGCGGTGAATTTCAAGAGGCGGTAGAGAAAAGAGGAAAAGCAAGCAGCAATACAGTCATTACTGGTTGAGATACTGTTTTTGTGAAAATCGTAACATGCACTAATCTAGCATCAGCTGTGTCTTGGACGCTACAATACATAAGCGGCGGCGGTACATACTGTTATTTGATGATGAGAAAAAAAAACGCATTCTACTCAGTAGAGTAGGGGTAATTTCGTGATTCGTCTAACTCAATAACAAAAAAACAAAATCAGAGTTTAGTATTTAATAGGTTGTCGTTGGTATTGTTGGTAATGGTACTAATAATAAATGAATATTGAAACTGAAATTTTGAAAAATGAGTAAAAAAGAAGGTGGTGCATTCTGGAAAGGCAGAAGATCAATAAACAAAAGCAAACTAAGCGTTGTTTTAGGGATTAACACAACAAATTCCTAATTGATTGAATATTGGCAATTACTGAGAATTTTTTACTATCGCTGATGATTAGTAATGCCAGTGGTGAAAGGTCATTCTCAACCTTAAAAAGAGTGAAAAACTACCTTAGGAATTTCATGGGAGAGAATACATTGAATATCTTATCGATTTTAAGTATTAACAGTGACATGTTATTAAATCTGAATCTGAATTTTGATGATGCCATTGACGACTTTGCATCAAAAAAATCAAGAAAAGTATTTTAGTATTCATCTGAAAAAAAATATTTTGTTGTTGTTATGTTTAACGTGTGAAGTAAATGAAATTCGATTCGTTGTACATGATGATTTCATGTTATTGTTATATGCTGTAATAAAACAGTGAAAGGATTATTTTAATTTTGAAACTGACAAATGAAAATTGTATATTTGGCGGCGGCATCGTAAAAGTTAGCCCCCGGCGTAAGGGAGTAAAATTCCGGCACTGAAAAAGAAGAACGGAAAACAATTCGATTCGATATTCCGTATTGGTAGGATCGTGGCCCCGCGGACCTCAAATCTTTCAATGGAAGTATCATACTCAAATGCCCCAAAATAAGTAGGTACTAGTAACCCTTCTGGAAGAAAACTATAGTTTATACTTTCTACCATATGAACGGGTTATGAAGGCCGGCCTGAAGCAAAGGACCTGTAAATCTACAGGAATATACCAGGAATACACCAGGTAATAATTTGATTATTCTTAACTGGACGGCTGACCTTACACTCAGTTCAAATACAGACACCTACAAATTTATATGACCTAAGTTAATGAAAATGTGCATCTCAAATTTCTGGAAACTGGTATAATAATGAAATTTTGTTGTTTTTCAAGTGAAGTTAAACTAACAGATTTTTTTATAAGTATATTTTGGAATTCAGGATCACATAAATAAAGTTTTAATTTATGAACTTATAGCACTATATAAACAGAAAATATCAATAGGAAGTTGATTTATATAACAGGATACTCACTAGCAATATTGGTGAAATTCAATAGTGAACAATTCACACTATTCCTTGTATCACACAAAATATTTTTCACCATATTGCTAAAGAATGTAACATACTGTGGCTTTTCTGAGTACCTTTCATAATGATCTAATGAGTCTTGGAGCTTCAGAGTTAGACTATCATAGTTCTTTTTCACTATCTCCAAAATTTGTTCCTCACTGGGTGTAGAAAGATTTGCAGAAGCTAACCACTGTTCTATTTTTGGGTTGAAATGTTTTATTATGGCTCTAACATTGAATAATGTATTGGTCAACTTCAAGGCATCTTCTTTGAAGTCACCATCACCACTGGAATATCTCAAAGCTGAAAATGAATAAAATTTAAATGTATATTTTTTACTATTGAATACATTCAATACTACCCATTGAATAGATATTATCAAAAACTTGATGCATCCGTATTATCTCATAATATAGCTCATCATAGCTACCAGGTGTGGGCAAAAAGTTATCACCATAGGTGATGAAGAAATTCAAAAGGTTTACAACCTTAATGGAGAGATTGAAAATATTGATTTTCTTTCCTAGATAGTTTTCGTTTTGTAGTATAAACCTAAGCAAAGATATCAAGGCAGTCCATAAGTCTTTCCAAGCATAATTCAATCTTATCCTGCATTTTTTCTGATAGCACAGTATTCTCTGGATGACTCCTGTGCAGAGGATGTATAATTCCATTGGAAATTTTTTCATCATATGGCTCAAAATGAATTCTACCAATAAATCTAAAATTTGAATGCTAAATGAATGAATGAACATATGAGTGTCTATCAAATTGCTTACCAATGAGTGTGCAAATAAGTGGTTGGCTGGATGTAGTTTTATCTGAGGCTAACTTTCTATGACGCATTGGTAGCCTATGAAGTTTTACTTTGAATGCCAAATTGATATCATGCATCAATGAATTTGCATATTGGTCTTCAGTTATGCATCCCAGAATTATAAAACAGAGCTTCACTGTATTTGTACCTGCCTCAGTCTTTGTGTCTTGCATCACTATGGAGCTAAAGACAGAAATAATTGCTATATGCTGAAGGACCTGGATTAGTAGCCTATTGATTGGGAATCACATAAAGTTTGGCATAAAGTAAGGCATAAAGCTCCTTAATTATAATTTTATTTATTGCACACATCAACAAAGAAGTTGAAAGTGGGGTAGTGGCTTGGAGGTTGCCTTATTATGTAGTCAGAATATAATTCTAATACCAACCTCATATTCCAACTACATAAATTTACAAATGTCACAATGAAGGGCCAAATATGTGGAATAGTAGACAACAGTAATATTACTGGAATTATTACCACTACTCATGCATTATTAAACAGGAAAACTTACCAATATTGGAAGAAAGTTACCAAGAGATTTGAAGGTTCTGTAGAAACATCAAAAATTGTAGAGGTAGTTGATGAATCTGGGGTGTTATTTAAATTGCTCAAAGTGTTATTAGGAGAAGGGGGTGAACTTGTATCAGTCTGTGTATGAGCCAAAGTTGTTATGAAATTTCTATTCAGATGTATGGCCTCATAAAATGCTAACAACAATGCATTATTGGCCCTCATTTGCTGCATCCTGATACCCCCTTCCTCTGAGATGAACATATTACCAACAATATTTGTTAATGATGAGAACCATGATGCATTTTGATTTTCACTATGTTCTAAGTTATACTGGCTACAAAACTCTGATAGAGATGAAGTTATAACTTGACCATAACCATTAAGAGCCAATTCATCATCTAAAATTGATAGTTTCACTACATAAGGATTTGTTGCATCATATTTTTTATAATTAACCAGTAATGTTATTATCAAAACAACATCATATCCATGCTTCTGTCTTGTTGGAACATCACACAAAAGTGTAACTAGATAGTCAAACAGTGATGATGTCATTATATATTCTATTAGAGTGTTCTGATTGATAGATTCCAATCCTGTGGTTAAAATTAGAATGAGTTTGAGGCAAAGACCCTTGACAGACTCAGTGGATTCTCCTAAAAAAATGTATCTTAGAATTTCAACAAACTGAATGACACCATTCCACCTTCAAAGAAAGTCTGGCATACTTCTAATAATTTTTGCATTCTAGTCAAAATATTATCACAACCCTTTAGAAATTCAATGGCATCTACTTGAGTGTCCACTGATTTTTTGAAGATAGCATGTAAAAGGGAACACAAGGTCAATAATCCATAGGCAACCCTTATATTAGGCTGTTGCTCCAAAATCTGAAGACAGTGGCTAAACAGAATATTCACATTCTGTTTGGCCAACTGCAGTTGTTCTGGTGAAAGTTTCTGTATTTCACTTTCAAATGTAGCTACTTTAGGTTTCAGCAAGAAGAACTCATCCCAAAAAAGGTCATTTTGAAGAGATATATCTTCTCCTTTCAGTAAACATTCATATATCTGAACTACTTTCTCCTTGAGTTGTCTTTTCGAACCAGATCCACTGCGTTTTCTGGTAGTCATTGCCAAAAATAGTGTAGTCTTCAACTGGGTGTTCAATTACATGAAATCAATTTTTCCATCGGCTACTTAGGGTCTATTCTCTTGAAATAAATCTAAAATATACTTGAAGAATAAATAGCATTCCTTCAATATTTTCCAAGTTCAAACTACTTGGTATATAATTATGATATTCAAGATTTTATCACGGATTTGATTATTTGATATTTCGATAACAAATAACAAAATTAGAGTTTGACTTGACAATTGACATGCCAATGACAAAACAGAATCATATATTATCTACTATTTCTATAGGTCGCGTGCAAGAACTGTCAGATGACCGACCCTGGAGGCAAAACATATTTGTTTATAAGTGATCGAAATAGTTTTCCACAATTATTTTGGCATATGAATCGTATTTTTCCGCTATTCATCAATTCGCTGATGCCATCACATTGTGCTGTTGTAAAATGCACAAAAACTGCAGCGGAAGATGAAGAAATCTGGATGATACATTATGATTCAAAAGTAAGTACCTACTATAGACACTCACATCGTTTTCATTTTTGAAATTTGGTTATTTCTCTGATTTCTCATCGGAATTCCTTCTGCAATAGGATCAGCTAATAGAAATATACCTGAAATTGCTAGAATAATGCAAGAAGATTGGATTCATGCAATCAATCGGTAGGACTGGTCTGACATGCTGACGATCGTGTGTGTTGTAGACATTTTCAATCTATTAGCAGCATTAGCTTGTATTGCAGAAGTAGCAGAAGGCAGAAGGAATTTTAATAAGGAATGACAACATTTCATAATGCTAACTATGTGAGATTACTATTTACCTGAAAAATCATATTCCCTAGTCTCTTGCTGCATTTTTTGTGCATTGTACCTACAACAGCACAATGCGAAGGCATGCTTGAATTAATGAATAACGCAAGAAACACGATTCGTATGCCAAAATATTGTGAAAAACTATTTCAACCTTTTGATTCCTCTGTAACCAAATAAAAAAGTGAGGTTGTGTTTCAATAATTCACAGAAGAATGAGGTTGTGTTTCAATATTTTGCCTCCAGGGTCGGTCATCGTGCACGCGACCTATATGGCGCATCGCCTATACGATATCTCAACGAAAATGGTACTAAAATGAGAGGTACTTTTTGAATCTATAAGGACGGAAAGTGAAGGATGGAAATTGCTCACGTGAGGATCAGATTTCAAGTTGGATTAGGTAGGTTCGAAATTAATTATTGGATCATAATAAAATATTAAAAATCATCATCAATCATTGTTGATAATACCACAGTATAATACCGTCAACTTCGATTTATTCCTTCATAATGTGGTTAAAATATAGCAAAGCATAATGTCAGTAACTTTGAGGAACAGTGAATTTTGTATAAAGTGCTGACTACATAAAGCGGGGTTCACAACCAAACTTTTTACGTTTTGCTTTTTACGTTTCGTATTCTGATTGGTGAAGCAGAATCTGAAATTAAACGTGAGCAAATGTCATTCACAACAACAACAAAATCGTGACTTTTTATGGCTCAGTTGCCTTGGTTTTGTTATTTGTTTTTCATCCTGAAATGAAGTAAATAATCATAACAATAATATTGATCAGATAATTAATAATATTGAATTGATAGAACTGGCGATGATAAAAATTGATCCTTATTCAATACTTGAAGAGAAAAATCAATCTTCAACAAGAAAATAATGAATTGAACAGTATATACCTATTTACTTATTCTGTGGATTCACGAAAAAAATCATGGAAACATCATAACGTCCATATTATTACAGAATGTTTCATATTATTCGTCTATTTTTACTATTTTCACAGACGATGGCTTCTTGCAACGCAAAAAGCTGAATATTTTCAGCTTTTTGCGTCATTTTGATTACAGATTTTGCTTCACCAATCAGAATACGAAACGTAAAAAGCAAAACGTAAAAAGTTTGGTTGTGAACGCCGCTTTAGTTTTATCCCCAATGATTGAAGGCATAAGTTCCTTCGTTTCGTTCAGGGTTCTTAACAGGGTCTAAAGTCTAAAATATAATGTAAATAAGTGTGTACCTTTGTGCAGGTCAATATATGAACAAGAAAATTTGAAAATTCAAACTTATGAAAAGAGGATTCCTGTCTTTTCTTTTCTCCGCAAATAAGTACTGCGTTTCGTTCCACTAGACATGGTTAAAAAAGTTCAGTCTATGAAAAATAAACGAAAACACAAACACTAAAGAATTGTACAACTAAAAACGCAAATATTCGAATATCAATCGCACATACGCGCTAAAACCCATTTAAAAATTTTAAATTCATAGCCATGTTGGTTTAACAAGTTTCGTGTTATTTTTCCCTATGTCGGCATCGATGCCTATGGATCGATTTCGTTACCTATACAGACAGAAGTTGGTCCCGATCTTGTCCGTTACCACCGATACAACAAGGCCTGCATGCTCCGTGGGTGACGTCACTTAGTGAGGCCTAACCAGCGGCTCGAAACGACAAGCGCTTATATAAGGCGACCGCGTATTTCGATTTTAGTTTTAGATCATCATTGTGCCGATTTTGCTGTTTTTAAAGGGCTTCCGGTTAAAAAAGGATGCCAGTCGTCAACTGAGCCCTTCTTCGCACCCCATTCAATTTTATTATGGAAAAACGAAGTTTTAAAGCAAAAACCAGGATAAAACACGAATATCCACCTACAGCAACCCATTCGAATTAAATATATTGGCAAAAATTGTGGTGAAGGTAAACTTCACACCTACTTACACAGGGCCCGCAGAACATAAACTTATCGTGAGATTGATCGAAAGAAAATTGTGGAAAATGTATTTTATTTTGATTGACATGCCGTTTGTTACAATGACCTATAGTTATCTTGGAGAATTCCTATTACCTGAAAAAATAACCAGTGAATGTTTTCAATTTTCTGTTGTTGGATTTTTCACCCAAGTGGATCGTTACACTTGAAACCGTAATTTTTAAGGGTGAAACTGAATTTATCATGCGATGGTTTTTTTTTTGAAAAACCGAATTCTATAATGAAAATGTGAACGAACACTATTTATTGAGATATTTCAAGAAAAAGTTCGAAATTTCGCCTTCTTTCTCCCCTTGTGTTGGGGGCATTTGAAGCTATACTTGCTCTTATTTTGTCATTGGACACTTTATATACTCATGATGTACTTCGATGGCACATTTTTATATAGAAAATTCAACCCAACGGGAAACTAAAAGCATGAACTTTTGAACCACCCACATAATTCCCCCGACAAAAGGGAACACAACACTTGAAAGGCATTGTTATTTCGCCGATCACAACACAAAATATTTCACAAAACAGTAATTTTTCCTCCGATTGGCAGCAAATATTAATTTTGCTGACACATATCAATCAGCAAAGCATTACTTTTCCTGCCTAGGCAGCAAAGTGGTTACTTTGCTGATTGATATGTATCAGCAAAATTAAAAATCCATAAATCGTTCATAATTTCCTTCATATTTCATCCGAGACTTCTCCGGCAACAAATTCAACTCTATATTTTTTGCCACCTCTCTTAAGTGTAAGTATACTTCCAGGTCGCTTTCACTGTCCATTATGTATAATAATTTGAATATACCGATATTTTTTCGCACAACTGTCAGAAATTTCATGAATTGTCAAACCAACAACTGCGATTTCTATCAAATTTTATTTTAATTGAACACTATACAGGAAGAGTAAAAAGATTGTGGGAATTGTATTAATTCGCAAATACAATATTCTCCCATATCATTATGAACAATCGGAGAAAAAATTATATGTTCAACTCGGCAGCAAAGTGGATTGACTGCCGTGGCTGAATTCATAGCCGAGCGTAGCGAATCTACTACTTTGCTGCCTAGTTAAACAAATAACTATTTCCGCCAATTATTTTGATGAATAAACAAAAAAAGAATTCGGGACCGTTTCAAAAACATACGTGAATCACCGATGAATTAACACGAACTGACGCGTTAGTCGACAAGCGATAAAATAAAACACTGGCCTGGTGACGTCACGAGCTGTTTACGTCAGAGTCTGCTGGCCTTGTTGTATCGGTGGTAACGTCTTGTCCCGATTTGAGGACAGCTATGCTTCATATATAGAGTAGTGGATCTCATATTATATGAAGCATAGCTGTCCTCAAAGCGGGACAAACTTCTGTCTCTATAGGTAACGAAATCGACCAATAGGTCAAACCAATTGTCCTCTGGTACAAGAACTGAAATTTCTATGCCGTGGCGTTTCGGAAATATTCAAGAAATATCATCTTCAGGAGCCTCCTTTCATGGAGCCATAGTTCCCTTAGGAGACATTTCTCGACTCATATTCATTGGAACTTTACTTCCTATTTTTGGTCAAAGAAGCTGCTGGTGAAGTTTGGCAGGCTAATTTCGGGACACCCTGTATAATAGAGATCTGAGCTAAGAAAACAGTGAACCACTAAAACTGGCATCCGTCGTGGGTACCTAGATCTAGATGTCTTTTGTAATGGCCAAGAACCATCAATAACGCCGGTTTCATATGACTACATTTCCATTGGCACTCCAGAGCTTTCGTAATTTACTGACAGTATTGTCCAGTTACATTCGGAATATTTTCATTTTTCAAGTTTTTTTCTTTTCATGCAAGTGCATTGTAAAGTTTGAAATTTTTTTCAAGAATTTTCTTGTCATGCAAGTGCATTGTGAAGTTTGAAATATCTATGCCTGTTTTTCAAATTGAATGTGAAAAATATTATAGGGACCGGAGTAGTCTTTCTTTCTTCATTTGGAAACCCATTTTCAACAAAAACAAACATGTGGGGAAAATGGGAATTTCTTGAACCTTGCTAGGGAATTTCAATTGAAATAGGTTGGCAACAATAGCAACACTGTAGGGAACACATTTTTTTCTCTCCTCAACCAGTGACGGCTAAATATCTAGACTGTCTGACGCCACTGAACTATTTTCGATGTTCTGATGATGTGACATGTCTATGTCATAAATGTCATTGACTGGATAATCTTTCGAATTTTTGGAATGAAATTTCGAATTTTATCATACTTACTTTGACATCATTTGTTAATATCATTAACTTTGACTCTCTGCTGAGTTCGAAAATAGTTCAGTGGCACAAACTAGATGTTAGACAAGGACAGATTTATCGGACCTCTCTATATAATGCGGCTACGTTGTACGTTGGTATCATTGAAGAGAAAGATGGAAGAGGAGAGAACTTTCGTCTCTCTCGTTCAAGATAGAAAAGACCTCAATTATGTGAAGGTAAGGTAAGGTTATATGCTATGTCGTGCAATGTCGTGCCAAAACTGCACATCGAAAAATACTAGTAACTTTCGAAATGGGCGAACCGCATTATCGATTTAAGTTGGCAAAACTGTACACCAATGCCAGATTTATTTGACATTTCTAGAAGCGATTTGGTGTGATCATCTGATCTCTGCGAATTATTCATTACTGACAATTTGTACTTTCAAGGAATTGTTTGTGATTTATTTGTGGATCATAGGTGAAATTCGATTTATTCAAAATGCCTAAACCATTGAGTGCGTAGGCGCAGAAGATGGTCCATTACTTCCAATAACTGCTGTGAGAGATGTAAGTTGAATGATGGTATTAATAATGATATTTTGTGTTGTCCGAATGATCCGAATATGATTTGTGTTAGTTTATTGTAATGACATAGTGGTTTCATGAGTTTTTGTGGGTTTTCCTCATTTTTTTTTATCGCTCTGCTACGAATATTGCATTAGTTATCTTGCACGAAATACAACTCTTCCCTTCTTTGGTATTTTATAATTTCCAATATAAGTAGATGCTCCACTTTTTATTTTCCCACGAAATGAAATCAATTGATCGAATTTATATTTCATTTCATCAATTTATAGTAATTGAAAAACATTCAAAACTATTAGATAACCTCAAAATTGAATTCGAAGTTTTTATTATTTTCACTCAGTAAATGTGAATACTGATCAGTTTTATCAAAAAAAATAATTCAAGACATAATTGTTTGGTGAAAAAATAAACTATTATGTTAATGTCAATATCTGTGATTATTTGTTGATGTTGTTATATAATAAATCATTCTTCAAGTTATTATTCTTTATAAGAATTTCAATATCATTGAATTTCATATTCAGCATATTGTTTAGGTGCATGGTTCATCGAATACGAATATTGAAGTTCATTTATCAATTTCGAGTGCTGATTTTTAAACATAAATGGACGGCTTTTGAGTTGGTTCCAAAAAACATTATAACGTCCGACGATCGTAGCACTAGACATATCCATATTCGGGCGGTTGGTCATTCAGTCATTTCCTTTCAACTGGCAACACTGTATGTGTTGACATTGACAATTGACATATTGACGTCACCAACCCAGCGTGAAAGCCCACTAGCACAGCCACTAGCGGCACTAGCTTGATGTTATGATGTTTATTATTTTGGAATATTTGTATTTGGCAAATATTTGAACATGGTTCAATAGAAGCAAAAGAGTTTTTTGCTTTTATATTTGGTTCAAAGTTCTACCGAAAACCGCAAGGTTATTTACTTCAATTGTATAATTCTACAAACCTTCTTCATGTCTGATATCATCACACTATCCTCAGAGGATGAAGCTGAATCACCTCCCAAAAAGGTATTACCCTAACATATTATTATTTTCAAGTTGTGAATGTGTCTTTGAATTCAACTGCTATTTCAGAGGATCAAGCCAATACTCCTTGATACATTACATCCTCAAATAACAATAACAAGAGTTGATAAAAGGAATGAGAAAAAACCCCAATCAGAAAATGAAATACATGAATTACTCTCAGATGATGATGATGAAGTAAAAATCATAAATACTAAAGAAGAAGATAAGATCATACATGTTGATTATAAGAAGGAACTTGCATCTGATACCACAAACAAAAATGATGAAGTTGAGCTGGAAGGTAAAAACATTGCCAATGACACATTTGAAATTATCAATGAGAGTAGTGATGAACCAAATTCTGGTAAAGAAGATAGTCTTGATAAAGAGAATAAGTCTGAGAATGTTGCTTCAAGTGGCAACAACACAAAAAATGATGTATCTATGCCTACAACATCAACTGAGACATCTAATGATTGTAAACCTTCAAATACTCTGCTGTTAGAATCATTCATTTGTCTTTGTGAAAAAAGTATAAAAAACTCAAAATTCCAAGTTCTGTCTGACAGGTTCCCAGTATTCTGGAAATATTATGAAACTTGTGAAACAGAACTAGGGGAATCCTCAAATTTCAAACAAATGATTCAAGTAAATATGGAAAAGGCCCAAAAGTCTACTGCTTTAACTGTTATAAGTTTCAATGAAATATTTCAACATCTGAAAGAGTTGGTGGAAGCAGAGAGCATAGAAGTTTCAAATGAAACTTTGATAAAGCTGAAAAAGCTCAAGAAGACCATAAAACAATTATTGGCTCATATAAAAAAACTGGAAGAATCAGAAGTTGATTTCAGTGATGAGGAAAATTCTATTTATCTACAATTGGATAGGTAAATATTTTGGAATACCCATTTAATGAAACCTACAGTTGATTATTTTTTCAGATATAATAATCGCCTGGCTAAGGTCTATCAAAAATATTGTGAGCTTTTGAATAAGAATCCATACAGTGGTAGGCTCACCTATACCAAATTGGATTTTGTTGATTCAGAGTATAATGAGATAAATAGAGCTGTTAGCAAGAAATATAAGAATAACAAAAAATTTCCTAGTTATGTAGAAATGGAGAACTTTATCAAGAAAGTTGTAGCAGACAACAATTTAGAATTGAGCCAGGCAAAACTCAAGTCTGAAAGTAAGTACATTGAGAGGTTGTCTCCTTGTCTCCAAAGTACCATATGTGCAAAAATGACCATTAGGAGATTTTTGGATGATTGTATACTAGGAAACTAGGAACATATTGGGCTGTATGCTAAGGAAAAACACCCTATGCCATAATTAGTGGAAATAGTTTTGTTTTTATGAACAAAATTCAAAAAAGTACAGCATATAATTAGCACCTGTCAGTTACAGCATTTTTGCTCAGTAGGTTGGTAAGAATGTGCAATGCATATCAGAATAAATCCAAACTGCCAATATTTCAAAAGTAGACCTGAAAGAAATTAAACACACTGACTCTTTTCAACAAAAAGTTTAAAAGGCAGAAAATAGATTATACTCATCAGACATAATAATAATATTTATTAGACAATATTCATCAAAAAAGGTTTTTCTTTGACAATGACAAGTGTACCAGCAGAAGCTGTTTTTCAACTCAACCTTTTAAATTCAACCTTCCATATAGAAGCAGTGTAGGAAAGTTATGATTTGAAGTGTTAAACTGATTTGGCCTAGATTTTATGTATGAAAAGAACATGAAAACAGCACCATCTTCTTATAGAAGCAGTGTAGGAAAAGTTATGATTTGAAGTGTTAAACTGATTTGGCCTAGATTTTATGTATGAAAAGAACATGAAAACAATGCAATGTCAGCACCATCTTCTTAATCAGCACTATGTAGGGTATTCTGAAGAATTTGGAGAATGTTTTTCCAAATAATATAGGACATACAATTCTCCAAACAATTGGAAATCAGTCCCTCATCTTCAAGAAATCATGATAACTTGAGTTCATAATCATTGATAGTACAAATTAATATTTTATTTGAGTAATAAAATCATTTTCAATGTTGAGTCAACTTTTTTGCATCATAGTTTCTTGGATTTGAACATTATCAATTCAAGGAGCATGAATGCAGTATGTTAACACTAATGATACACACACCTAATGAAAACAGTATGTGCCTGCACATATGGCATTTGTTCTATACAATAGCAATATAATTTCTGCAGTATTTGCTTTTTCTAGAAGAAAAATATATAGTTTTTGAAAAATGGCTATTGAAAACATTAAAAAAAGTTAATCAATAAACAAGTACATTCACTGTGCAATTTACCATAAGGTCTCTTGGCTGAAGTAAAATTTGAATAGTCCCATATCTCAAAATGGCTGTTTGGTACATATGGCACTTTTGTTTTGCAGGGCAAATTATGCAAATCCACAAAAAGGTCTCTTCAGTGAGTCACTTGAAAACTTCCAGTTTCAGTAGTTTAATATTGTATTTTGTTAACTATTCTACTCTTGTTCTGGAGAACCAATCAGAAACAACCATTTTCAGGGTTTCTCCTGTATTACAGTGATATTTTTTTGTTTACTAAAAATTATCAGACTTGCTCTACCAATACAGAAGCTGAAATGTCCCACATGTGACCAACCAACATCATTTTTCAGTGATAAACTTCTGACGTTGATAATGTCAGGTATAATAAGTATTTAATTTTGATGGCATGGATTTCTGTATCATCGTATATATTGTCTGATTCAATCATGAAATAGAAATAGTGATACTATTTTTTCTGGAGATATCCGTTGATATATCAATCAACTCCAGCTTGCTGCATTTAATTTCGCTCATGACGTTCCAAAGTTTTGATAACCGTCATTCACGAAGTTATTAGGCATCAAGCTGTCATAACAATCTCCGACTATTTCCGGCAAAATAGTATATTAATGAAGCATAGCTGTCCTCAAAGTGGGACCAACTTCTGTATCTATAGATAACGAAAATCGACCAATAGGTGTTGATGCCGACGTAGGGAAAAATAATACGAAACTTGTTAAACCAATATGGCTACGAATTTCAAATTTTTTAATTGGTTTTAGCGCAGATGTGACTGAGTGTGATTGAAATTCAAGTATTTGCGATTTTAGTTGTACAATTTTTTAGTGTTCGTGTTTTCGTTTATTTTTCATAGACTGAAATGCAGTATTTGCGGGGTAAAGAATAGACAGGAATCCTCTTTCCATGAGTTTGAATTTTCAAAATCTTGGGCTTGCACATAAGTAGGAAGATTGGAAACTGAAAATCATAGAACTGAAGTTAAGATTTAGGAGAAAGCTTTCGATAATAATATCTTATCTGATGCATAGGTTATGGTACTAATGATGGCCAGTTTACCTATCAATAAAAAAACATGATTACATTTGATAAAATCCAAAGCTTTGTAGGTAATGGTTGGTTCAACATGAGTTTGACAATGGAGCTTCAGCCTCATCATTTTTCTCATACATTATCAATGAAGTTATCAATCATCCAGCAACAAGCATAATATAATAGAATTTCCTTAAAGTAAACCAAGTTTGAATCAGTAAATGAAAAGTAGTGTAGGGTAGTCCCGAGTGTAGTCCTATCATGCTAAACAGATTCGTGAAAAAGAATACATATACCTAGGTTAACCCTGACCTATATTCAATATTCAATACCAAGATCTGAAGCAATAATGTTGAATTAGACTCATTAGAGGGTGTAAGTTCTGAGATTCCACCGAAGTGAATTAAATTATTATCGCAGTTCATTTCATTATCATCTGCAATGGCTCTCTCCTGTACCTCTAAGTTACTGACATTATGCTTTGCTATATTTTAACCACATTATAGAGGAATAAATCGAAGTTGACGGTATTATTCTATTATACTGTGGTATCATCCAGGGTGTATCATCAACGATTGATGATTTTTAATATTCTATTAAGATCAAATAATTATTTAGGAACCCAACCTAACTTAAAATCTGATCCTCTCCAGTTTCCATCCTTCACTTTCTGTCCATATAGACCGAGATATAGACAGAGCTGGGCCGGGTACTGATAAATTGTACTCGAGTACCGGGTACCGGGTACTGTTTATAATTGAAGAACGAGTACAGAGTACCGAGTACCCCACTCATTGGATGTACTCAGAGTAAATTACTCCGAGTACAAGTACTCGAATTCCACGGGTACTCATTTCAAGTACATTTGAATAGAGAATTGAGAAATTTTGCATCAGTATTAATTATTATTGACAATAATAATATCAACAACTTCAACAATTGTCTTACAAATTATAAAATTGACCCATTCATTTCTTATTCATTAACTAATACGTAAATTAAAGCAAAAATCAAACTACTTATTTGTCGTTGTTCACGTCGATACGTATCTCTATATAAGAAAAATATTATTGCAAAATACTATACCCTTACCTCTTAGTTTAGTGTGATTTCGTCTTAAGAAAACAACAGAAACGATACAAAAAACACTTGACTCTATAATTGTTACACAGTGTACAAAACAAAAACTCCGCGTTTGGTTCTGATTGAAGTGCTGACTGATAATGATGATATAACATATAACAGCGGTTTCCCGTGTTGCACTCGCATATGCACAGACAAGTTTATTCTTGCAAAAAGTACCCGGAAAATGTACTCGTTTAATAAACGCGGGTACCGGCTACTTTTCCCGAAATGCTTCGGGTACGAGTACCGGGTACTTTATTGAAAATGTACTCGGGTACTGGGTACTGAGTACACAAAATGTACTCAGAGTACAATATTTGAGTATACTTGTACTCGAGTACTGCCCAGCTCTGCATATAGATTCAAAAAGTACCTCTCGTTTTGGTCCCAAATAGAATTACATATGAAAACAAATTTTATAACAATAAAACCTAACCTAATCTGACCTGATGTGCTAGAGTGCAATGATTCATGTGGTGCCCCCTACATGCCACCAACCTCGAATACAGATAGGTGATGGCGTTAGTCTTGAAGGGAGTAACAGGGTTGTAACACAACCAGAAAGAGTAAAACGCGCGGTAGTCGAAGATTTTCAAATTTTCAAGGTCAACCGTCTTGAAATGAATCATATTTGGTGCTTTTTATAAGATTTTTTTCAACTTTTGTAGTGTAAGAATGGGGATATTGGATGACCATCAATCTAAAAATTTATTTTACAAACTTACAATATACAGGGTGTATCTAAATAACACCGAAGAAATCCAAGGGGTGAATATTACATATATGGTTGTAAATAAAATACATTATTTACAACCATATATGTAATGTTGTCATTACTAACGTCATTGAAGGTTGGGAAGTGTCACATTACACACCTCTACTTCCTGCCCTCACTTCCCGCCCCTCACAAATTCCCGCCCTCACTCATGTAATAATTCAGGTATGTTCAGAACGAAACATAGATTTATTAATTTTGATCGAAATATGATGGTTGTAAATGAAATAGTATACGAACCTCGGTAGGGAGTTTCATTCCTGTCTCGAGATTATAGCTATAACTATAACTAACTAATCTCACGACAGGAATAAATCACTTCCCACCTCGGTGTGTAATATAGCAAATAATCGAGTACAAATATCGCTTTCCTATCCACGCTTATGTCAGTGGTCATACCATAACAACACTTGGTTTCAAACCTATTACCACTATCACATATTATAAAGCTGACTGAGAAGTTGAGATTACAAGCTGCTGAAGTTGGCTGAGATATCTGGCTAAGAATTTCGATTGATCAGTTGAGATTGAGCCGAAGAGTGAACCTGAAGAAATGAGACTTTTTATTGAATATGAAAAGTTTCAAACGCAGTTTTGAGTATTTGTACAAAACTGAAACAAAATGACATTAATGAATTGTTTTTCAACATTTCAACAGGAATGTTAGTAATACTGAAGCCTCAGGATATAATCAAGGTCTCTGGGTGATAATGATTATTTATTATTACGAACTATTCTTCGGGATTGGGTGTAAAGTAGTGGTTGAACGGTTGAACTCTCTAGAGCGATGGTACTGCGGGCCTTTTTCAGGTCTGCCATTTTGATCTTCCTTCGCCAGTGATTAACCGGCAGGTAGTGATTTCACCCAGTATTTTGGAGGGTATCATTATGTATATACTTCGATGTTAACAAATGGTACATCAAGAATCCTCCCGGGTTCTTCTTGCATTTCATGGTTTCAAGGTTCAGGTGTACTTGTAGCATATGTATAGCACAAACAAATATACTGGGTGCGCTGCTTTGTGCCCATATTTCGTTACTTTCACATCGCGTTGTTCCCACATTTCGATATGCCGTTATTTCGATAGGCCCACATCTCGTTAGCCCCACATTTCGATATTCCCGCAGTCTCCGAACATACCCGAAGGACGCACTGTTGCCAAACACTATCCTATATACCAGAATTCACTGAATCAGTCATTGTGGGCCTTTCGACACATTTCGTTACACCTACAATGCCTTCTGCCCACATTTCGTTACGCCTATATTGCGTTACACCTACATTGCGTTACACCTACATTGCGTTACACCTACATTTCGATAAGCCCTCATTTCGTTAGCTATATAGCTATAGCATTTCCCTCTATAACTCCCTGAATTCCGAATACGTAAAATTACTTGAGAGAGCCATGAGACTATACTTTTTCAAAACAATCTAAACTAACTGGGCCTAAATGAACCTTCCTAAATAGTATTTTCTTGATAAATTATTTGAGGGAACAAGGGAGACTACCTTTTTTAAGCAATCCTACCTAACACAGCCTCAATGAACCTTCTTCCTAAAAAGTATATTTTTCCAAAAATTACGCATTAAGCATAGTATATGGCATCCTCCGGGTATGTTCGGAGACTGTGGGCACAGAACTTCCTAACTGGGTGTTTTGTTCTCCTGTGGGACACCTATCGAAATGTAGGCGTAGCACAATGTAGGCGTAACGAAATATGGGCAGAAAGCTATGTGGATGTAACGAAATCTAGGTGCAACAGAATGTGCCCAAAATGACTATTTTTGTGAATGCTGGCATATATACGATAGTATTTCGCAACAGTGCATCCTTCGAGTATATGTTCGGGAACTGTGGATATATCGAAATGTGGGCATAAATGTGGGCCTATCGAAATGTGAGAACAACGCGATGTGGGAGTAACGAAATGTGGATGTAAAGGCATGTTTCCTGTATCGAGAAAAATATTTTTTTTCAATCCAACTACACCTGACCGCGATTACCTTTTGGGCTCAAGCAACCGGTATGCCTTTGTATTTCCAATTACGCTTATCACTTATATTTCATTTTGGAATACAGGCAGCTAGAGTGGAATCGTAGGTATCGAAACGCTTAATTTGCGAACAAATAATGTTAATTAACTTCAATGCATATGAAAAACTCGGGAGGATTCTTTCATGTATCATTTTTTTGAATCAAAATATATACATAATGATACCCTCCAAAAGGCATACTGGGTGAAATCACGTCCGAAAATCTGTCACTACTTGGGGGTCTATGACATAGCTTGTCAGGAGTAACCATACTTTTGAAGATATCCATTTCGATGCTTGGTATAACTGTCAGTAATAACCTTCCTTGGGAAAATCACGTGAGATCAATTGATAAAAGTGCATCACAAAAACTTGGTTTTCTGTTTCGGGCTAGGAGCTATTTCACTTCCAGTCAGCTGCTTATGATCTATAAGGCACAGATCCGACCTGTCCTGGAATACTGTTCCCATATTTAGAGTGCAGCACCCAAACATACCCTGAAACTGTTGGATTCTGTCCAAAAAAGGGCAATTCGTCTCGTGGGTGATGTCTCGCTCACAAACTCACTCACTTCTCTGGAACACCGTAGAAATATTGGCGATCTGTCTCTATATAATATATATTTTCATGAACGATGCTCTTCTGAAATATCAACAATTGTTCTCCTCCTTTGGCAGTCCCCGCGAGATTAACCCGTCGAGTTGAGGCTTCGCACCCCTTCGTGGTCACTTTGGAGACTTGCAGAACATCTCTTTCCAAAGACTCGTTCATCCAACGAAGAGCGAGGCTCTGGAACACATTGCCAATGGAGGTGTTCCCCGAGGCATATAACCTCCAGAAATTTAAGAAGAACACCAATTCCTAACTAATTTCCCTTGGTTCTCACGATGTTCTCTGAACATTACAGGATATCCCTTTTCGTGGAAACCAGAACATAAAAAAAAATTCATTATTTCGTTATGTCAGAATTCTTACAAATTTTCGTAGGATAAATGTCTGAAACGGTTGTGCATAAAATGTTGGAATAAGTCGGGTGTAACTTTTATATAACTAGGAGTGTTACACCTGCGCCCCATAAAAGGCTATTTTATGCTTTTGATACATAAATAACTTTTTTATTTGATATGTAAATAAACATTTTTCATGAATTTTTATCACAATTTCGGTCAACATATTTGCCTCTATGTGAATAATATACATACATCCACATATAATTAATTCCAATGATGATGGATGAAAAATTTAACTTTGTGCCACCTTGTGTAATGAAAATTATGCAGGTTATGGCTCCCGCAGATAGACGTGTCCGTGCGAATTAGGAAATAGGGAACTTGAAAGTAAATTAAATAAAAGAAGAAGGTAGTGGGTGTCTTTATGGTGGGCTATGAAGATTTATGAAAACCCATTTCAGATTTCAGAATCTAATAATCTAATCATTCGATATAATCAAGAGGATCGCCCTGTAGTATATTGAATTTAAGTTTTCTTAAAATTATGACATATTATCTCAATTTCAGGTGTTCATTGTTTCAAAAAGTTAGGGGAACTTCTTCAGGATAGAAGGAAACGAGAACTGTATGATTCTCATTATATGCATATTAAAGACAGTGTCGATCCAGCCAAAGATAACCCCAGTTTGAATTCCACCCTGAAAACAAATTATGAAGAGGGCCAGAAAAAAATTGAAAAAATTGTGGAATTGTGAGTAAATACATTTCTAATGTCCAACAAATTAATTATTAATGGTTCTTGAAGGTATGTTACCAAAGGACAGCAGGAAGAAAAAGCAGAATCAAGTGCAACAGGATTAAGTGCAACAGAATTGAGTGCTGCAGAATCAAGTGCAGCAGAATCAAGTGCATCAGAATCTGAAAAAAGCGATTATGTTGACAGTGAAGTTGAAGCTAATAAAAGTGGAGAAGATGAAGTTGAACAAAATGATGTTGGAATGAGTGATTTGAAAGAAACAAATAATTCTGATTAAATTGTTACACCAGAAGAAGCTTGGTTTTGTGTGTTAACATTTTTGATCAATCCTTTGTCATAACTGAGCTATGGTTACTTCTGTGTTTGAATATCTTCACTAAATTAAGTCTAAGTGAGTCGAATCTGGTGAACTAGGTGGCCACTCCATCATCAAACTTCTACCTGTATCGGCGTGGAGCTCCCCTATATATCAAGTCATCCTTGCTGTGAGAAAGTTTTCCTTTTATTTTATTTTTGCAAACTCAACAGGTTGTCCCAGCTACTAACTAGCAATAAGATACTTTTCATATATACTATTAATGATCTGTCTATTAATGCATGAATAGGCAACCAAACATGCACTGCGTCCTCTCACTGTTGGCATTATAACTTACGGAATCTGAATTGGAATCGAAAATATGGATTTCATCAAAGATTTTACGTTGACGGGTTAGCCTTTTGAAGTTTCTGAGCCGATTTTAATAATTGTTTTCCAACGAAATGAATTTATTTTCAAAGTCGATTATTTCCACAAATGTCAAATAATGTCATTGTCAGTGACGAGTTGACATTCAGGGCTACATGGGTGATTCCCAGTTCCCAGATGAATGATAAATTCGCGAACCAAGTTGTCTTGCAGGAAAGATATAGTCGTCGAATTTTTTTTTACCAACTCGTATATTATTATTATTAAGCGGACTATTAATGATTTCGAACATTAAAATATCTCTCTCATTAATCGCCCTCATTAATACACTAGTTGGTTAAATGACTATACATTATTTAGTGCAACTAATAATGGAAGTTATAGTATTATACCTATCTTCACTCAAAAGTGTGTTTACTAATATTCATATATCCTATATAGATGGGTTTTAGAGCTTCATGAAAAAATATCACAGCTGAGCGAAGATTTGTGCAATGAAACTATTAATCGATATTGAGTTGTTGGTTGATGATTATTAATCAATAATGTCTTCGAATGCAAGTTGTGACACGTACCAGAATTTCAAAAATTCAATTTGAATTATTTCTAAGGTATATATTACTTGTTGCATAGTTAAGAACACTTTTACGTTCGTATAAATTCGACTCCTATGATGGTGCTCGCCCTAGCTATATAGTTCTAATATGCTCTCTCTGGCTCATGGCAATTTCTATACAAAATACCACAATGATATTCAGCAACTATGTTGCCATCTTCAGTAAAACTTGAGAGAAAATATATATTATTTGACTCTTATACAATTTTTGATATTGTTGAAACTAAAGCTCCTTCACTATTGAGCATTATTCATGTTTTTTGACATACCTCGTATACAATTGAAAACTATCGATATCTGATAATTCCATTCTTAGTTTAAGATCATCGAGAACTTTTTATGAGGATTAACTTTATTTCGTAAAAGCAATAACAAATATGATGTTTTCCCAGTGACGGCTCGTTAGGGACGGCAAGGTCGGCCGGACCGTACCAGAAAATTTTTGGAAAAAAGCTATACAATTTGATGAATAAAATAATTTTTCTATATGGATCGTTAATTATACTACTGCTATGCCACTATTATTTGAATTTCATGCACTGAAACATTGGGGTAAGCCAATTAATAAGCTATCCGAATATACACCGAAAAGCACGAACTAATTCAGGACCTACGACATCTGGCCATCCCACCGTCAAAACGCCGCTTTACGTAGAAACGCCACCGTAGCTCATGACACTACTGCAGTCGGCTAGCCGATCGGTGACTACTTGTCTCTCGACCTATCGCCCGGATCAAGTTGAAATTCTCGCGTATACACGTCATACACTGGTACGGCCGAGCTTGGCTGGCCGTACGTACTTATACCAGCCCTATATAGTGTGCCCCGTATACCGACCTAATTAATGCACGTATTGTCATCCTAATTTCGTTTTAGCAATATATTGTATTTATTTTTATGTTGATGTTGAAATGTATGTATAGTAAAACGGGGTTACTTTGCATCTCCAGGTAACTTTGCCATGAGTTCGTGAAAAATCTGAAAAAAAAAAAATCATTTCTCGACTGTTGAATGCTAAATGGGCGTGACTCCGCCTAACCGTTCTTCAGGATCCTCTGTTCGTCTGGTATCAATTGATTTCAGATAGCCCAATAGGCTATAGCTCTAGGTGCCAAAAACCACCTGCTTATTTGGCGGGAGTTTTAGTATACGTGCGCAAGTTGGTTCCGTAAGTATTTTCTGGAATGTTTCATCTCATTATATTCATAGTAGTGACCTCAACATGTCTATTATCGATAATCTTACAGGTTCTCAAAACAATATATCGATAACTTGACGAATTTTTGGGGGTTGGCAATGTTCCACGATATATTTTTTTCAATTTCGGGGTTACTTTGCCATATATATATATTCATGTCATGATTTGCAGGTCCTTAACATGTCTATAGGGAGTACAAAAAGTACTAAGGAGTCGTTACTATGTGAATTACACTCCTAAAACAGTGAAACAGACTGTTAATGCAATGAAAATAGGCATTTCGATGCAAGAGAGCGTCAAAAATATTCAATATACCAAGGATACAACACAGAACCATAGATAAAAGGTTCATCAACGTCATACTGGTATAAATATAGTGCTCCAACCGAGCTGAGTAAAATGGATGAGAGGCAGCTTGTGGACGTGATCTTTACCTGTGTGCTGAATATGGGAGCCCCTCCACTCCTCATAAGTTCCATTGATTTTATTTATTTCAATATTTCTTCTTTATCAGTTTTGTTGAAGATGGAGAGCATATGGGGTTCATCACATGTTAGCTAAAACGCATTTTTATCAAATATCTGTGTTTATTTCTTTCTGGTTGTGAAACCCCTATTCATACAAAATGGATGGATGGCAAAGTATCTTGTCTAAAGAATCAACTAAGCCAACTAATTTTCATATGTACTTTACATCACATGGCAAAGTAACCACAAGTTGTGTGGATACTTTGCCAATTTCAAAATTCGAAAATAAAATACTCTCTCCATACCTACTTCAGATTAATTCTATCAGTCACATAAGGAATGAGCCAAAATTGAACATACTTCTTAGGTGAATACATATCATTCACCGTTCAATAATTATTCGCGAAAAACCAGGGCCCCTACTCTATCTCACTAGAGTAGGCCCTGGAAAAACCCGATATTTCTGGCAAAGTAACCACGTTTTCGGTACCAACTGAAAGAAAAAATGAATTTCAAAAATTAAATGAATCCTTTTGATGTTTTTGTACATGTTTGCGGTAAAAATGGCCGGTAATTTTTTAATTTGCAAATTCCTAATTCAATATTCATCGAATATTAAAATCGGTACTGATTCACCTTCAGCGCTTCTGAGCGGCAATAATTTGAGTAGGCATATAACTTGATTATTGTATGTAATGTGCCTAATATGGCGAAACAAATTGCAGTAGTTCAAAAATCATCGTAAAAAAGCTCCGGTGAAGAAAATGTATGGAACTTCTTCGCATCTGTAGCTGGAAGTTTTTCATCGCAATTCCACTGAATCGAAAATGACAGTAACGCTCTGTCTGTCACTCTGAGAATTACACAAACTAATTTCTGTTCTGATTGACAATTGACATGACAATTAACAATTGATTGTTTTCCACATCAGATCCATTAAAGGCTATACAGGGTCGCTGATATGTATGGAAACAGGTGAATATCTCGGTAACCTGTTGTTGGATTTTTTTGAATTTATGTACTGTGTGATTTCAAAACGTGGCGGATTTGAAAAAATTATAGCCAATGTTGCCACTTTTCCATTTATTCCGGATATTTTATCAACTTTCTTATTTAGAATGGAACACCCAGTACTTTATTGGATTTTCAGATTCTTCTCGAGGAGCTGATTTCATCTATATCTATCACACTCGGGGTCTAGGGGGAATGATTAATCAAATCAAATCAAATCAACTTTATTACTAGATTAAAGTGTAAATGGTGTACAACAAAAACATATTCACATTATGTCCAGCTTGTCACAAAAAAAGAAATATTACACATACCTAGGAAAATTGTGTTTACACAAAGACTAACACTCTTAATGATTATTAATTAATGAATACAACACAAGAAAAGTTATTTACTTATCACAAGTGAAAATTACACAGCCAAAAATTTTTTATTTTTTTTTACTGAATTATGTTACATCAACGTTTAGAAAAAATTCTTCAATACTGTAGAATGCCTTACCTATTAAGAATTTTTTCAATCTATTCTTGAACTGATTCATTGTACTACAAAGTTTTATCGATTCATCCAATTTGTTGTATAATTTGATGCCTATATAATTTGGATCATTTTGGCCGATTTGGAGTCTTTTAAATGGCAAGTGTAACTTACCTCTTTCTCTTGTACCATAATCATGTACACAATTGTTCGTTTTGAAAGAGGTTGAGTTCTTTCTGATGAACACCAAAACCTCGTAGATATATAAACATGGCATTGTCAGAATGCCCAAACTGATGAAGTGTTTTTTACAGTGTGAGTTGTATGGTAACCCCAGCATCAATCTGATGGCTTTTTTTTGTAAAATAAAAATCTCCTTAGAACTTGCGCTGTGGCCCCAGTAAATTATTCCATAACGAATAACTGATTCAATTACCTTGTTATATAGTAGTAATAAAATGTTGTAAGAAACTGTGTCTTTTAATTGCCTCAAAAGAAACAATTGCCTATGCAACTTAGATCCTAGATTTTCAATGTGGGATTTCCACGTCAACTTGTGATCAATTGTTATACCAAGAAAGACTGTTGTTTCAACTTGCTTAAGCGATTTCCCTAACTTCAGTAAAATGCTACTCTCGTTTTTGTAGTTTTTTTGCACGAAATTTATGAAATGTGTTTTTTCATTGTTTAGAATTAAGCCATTCTTTAAACTCCAATCGGCTATTTGCGTGACTGAAGTCATAGATATTGGATGTTTAAAATCTAGGTTTTTCAACTTTAGGATTTTTTTTTGTGTCGAAACTATTCATCATCGATCCAATGTTCCTATATTTACTTTTGATTTACTATCTACCTACTGACATTTAATAGAAAAAATACAGGGTGGTTCAAGATTCAGAATTCTGATCACCCTCTGTATCTGTTCCAATTAAATGTCAGTAGATAGTCAATCAAAAGTGAAGATAGGAACATTGGAGCGGTTTTGATCGATAATGGATAGTTTCGACACAAAAAAATCCTAAAGTTGAAAAATCTAGATTTTAAACACCCTATACCTATGTAATCATTCCCGCTAGACCCCAAGTGTGATAAATCGATGGAATCAGCTCTTCAAGGAGAATCTGAAAATCCAATAAAGTACAGGGTGTTTCTTTCAAAATAAAGAAGTTACAAAAAAATCCGGAATAACTGAAAAAGTGGCAACATTGGCTATAACATTTTCAAATCCGTCACGTTTTGACATCACACTGTACATAAATTCAAAAAAATCCAACAACAGATTACCGAGATATTCACCTGTTTCCATACATATCAGCGACCCTGTATATATTTATATAACAATTAATTATTAATTTTCAATATGAATAGTGCAATTTATTGATGGATGATTTTGTATAAACTTACTAAATACCCACCACCCATATTTTGCGAGAATATTATATAGGTAAGTGTTTTTCCCGCAATACTGCAGGAAAATGACACATCCCAAACTAAATTACGTGTGGGTATGGTGAATCACGCACGCTTGTAGAAAAAATAATATGTATGCCTCCATCGCGTGAAACATTTGAGGATACTTTGACGATACTTGGTGGTACGCTGGTACGGCCAGCCGACCAGGACGGAGTGGGGTGGCTTGTTATTAGTCAGCGTGGTGCTTCTCGCGTTTGGTATGTCGTGTGTTGAAGTGCTGGCTGAAAATAGTTTATTCGGGCTTCAGATTTAGCAGAAAAAATAAAAAAGGTCATGGCGAACGTAATAAGAGAGGTAGTAGGTATGATCTGATGGTAAGCTATTTATCATCATTTCATTATAAACAAAAAAATTGAGTTGACGAACTATAGTTACTAGAGCAACATCTACCCTGACCGACCGACCCAGGTTCTGAGGACACAAATCGTCTCTGTTTTTTCCATATGTAGCCAACTTGAATATTGCGCCTATGCTTCGACGTGTACCTAGGTAAACAACGAACAACCTCGTATACGTCGTATCGTATCCCACTGACCTATACCTACTAATCCAAATAGTCCTTGTCCGAACCGCGCGCGTGTATATTAATGCAAACCATCCCAAACAATCACTCGCGCACCTTTTATAAATAGAGGACATGTCGCCGCTCGAAGGGAATGAAAAGTTTTCAGTGTTTTCGGCATTTTCGGACGCCTGCAAGTTAAAAATAGTGCGTGCGTATTTCGCGATTTTTTTATGGTCACCATTGTCGCAGTTTTCTTCGGCATCAATGAAAGGCAGATTTTCTCAGGGGAGAATTTCGAGGGCTGCTAAAAGGTACGTACGGCGTTTTCTCGTATTGATTGATTCGTATCAGTCTCGTGCTCGTGATTCGCCAAGGGATAATTATTCGATTATTTTTATTACCAAATGATTACGGCTCGGGCTCAGGGTTATGTATTTATATACAGGGGGTGCCTTGAAAGTTGAAATAGTGCATGTGCGCTTTGAGGTATGTATATGTAAAGTATAGAAGATAAATATTTGTCATTATACAATTATATAAATTGAGCTATACATATATATAGTGCCAAACTTTCAGGGGAGTTTAGGGAATTAAACAATTTTTGCTTCATAAACACATGTCCAACTGCAGTTTTCTACGTACGATTGTTTCAATATATCGGATGTTTAGAAGATTTCGAAAAAAAAACGGTCTGTGCAATTTTGAGTAAATCTTCACAAATTCATATTCTCATTATAACCTCATGTTTGTATTGGTGTCATGTCTATACCACCCTGAAAAGTTTCAAATTTGCCGGTTTTTCATGGCTATTCGCTCAAAAAATATATCAAGAAAGTATAGGTATAGGCAGTGGCGTAGCTAAAAATATATTTCAGGGGGGGAGATACCTGATTTTAAGTGATTTGCTAGAAAAAATTGAAAAAATCAATAAATTAGCAATTTAGGCTTATTTATCAAAAAACAAATAAGGCAGGCAATAAAATGTAACAAAATTCTGATAAAATAGCAGATAATTATATATTTCGGTCATAACATACAATTCGTCGATTGGTTTGGCGAAATGTATTAATAATTTCATCAGTATATTGATCTGAATATATTAAGATGAATACTCATTGGGGCTAAACTTGTACGCTCATCTTCTTCTTGTATATATGCCTATACCGGGTGTTCCTCAAAAGTTGCTCACTCCTATAACTTTTTTGTTTCTATCAATAAACAAATGAAATTCGGTGTTTAATCGGAAATGACCCATATTTTCTTATTTTAAATGGGACACCCGGCATAATTTTACTGATTTCGATAGAGAATAACCCTATATAACAACACAGGGATGTCCTAGGTACATCCCTTTTTTGTCCCGTGGTACAAGGACATGGTTGGGGCATCCAGGGGATGTCCCGCAGTGGTTGATGTCCAGTGGACATCCCGCCCGGTATATCCCTAGGTTATCCTATTCGTGTCCCTGGAATATCTGATATCCATTCACATCAGTCATTGAATTTCAGAGCATCAAACTATTGAGTTGAATTTTTTTGAAAATGTTTTTTTTTCTTCCGGAAAATAATTGTAGAGACAATAGAGAATAAAGTCTCAGAACTTCTAAAGAAATGACTTTTCGCAAACAGAAATCGTAAATGCATAATGCCCTTCATTTTCAAACACCCAAGAATGATAATAATTATACGCAATTCCTAACAAAGTTGTATCTATTCGGGTTTCTGTAGTTTAGTCCTGTTTATAAATCTGTTCAGTACATAAACCTTCAGAAGGCATAAGGCATACCTATTAGCAAATGGAGTAAGGTGCGTGCCTGATAAGCTAAAGGTCCAGGGTTCAATCCCTACTTGACTTACTTTTCTTTTTCTTTTGTCGAAGGGATGTCCATAGGATATCCTTGGGACGTCCTAGGGACATCCTTTCTTCGTACTTGGTACATCCCAGGGACGTATACCAGAAGGACATCCCTGGTTAGCCACTTTTGAGAAACACCCGGTATATGCAACTTGCAATTTACGACAGCAATGCGCACGCCATTGTTTAAATTTCCTAATGTGCGTACGTACAATTTGGAAATTGTTAAATTCAGTTGGTTACTTCCTCATTAACTAAAATTTGGGGGGGCTGCACCCCCCCTGGGTACGCCACTGGGTATAGATCTATAGGTAGTTATTACGCTGATTGATTGATTCATTGATTGATGAATTTAATAAAATAGAAACATGTAAGATCTTCAAGGGTTTAGTTCTCGAGATACAGCAAGGTGTTATTGAATTGTCTTCTGGTAATGTTGTCATTGAAAGTGGCTGAGACATTGAGTGACATTTCAGGATTTCTATTGATTTATTTTGAGTTATCTTTGTCGCTACATATACAGCGTGTCTCACTTTAAACAGCCCCCCTCTATATCTCAGTTATTAGTCATGCGATTCCAACCAAATTTGGTGTGGTATGAATAACCATCAATATGATCAGTTCTACAGAGATGCACATTATTTTGGACAGTGCCGTGCGTTTTTATTGAACTAAAAAGGGGTCGATTTTTCATAAAATCATATTAGGCATTTTTTTACAGGAAATCTGACCTCATATTATTGTTCCTCATTCTTTCCAACCTTCATATGCAAAAAATAACCTAGTTTTGAATTAACAGGATTGGCTTGATTTTTTTCATTTTAAGTCTCGAATAAATAGTGACTTCAAATCAACTACGAATTTTGGAACGTTCAATGGCTCCGGTAGGTGGAAAATCATGATTTGGAAGGAAAAACGAGTTATACTTTTTTTATGTTGAACTCACCGTTTCCGAGTAAATAATTATTACGTTCGCAAAAACGCTGTTTAGATGTGTCTGTTTTTCTGAAACCCTTCATATCCATCTTATGAAAATCCACATATGTGGGTTTGAAACCATGAAGAACAATATTATGAAGTCAGTTATCCTGTGAAAAAATGCCTATATGATTCAATAAAAAACTGGCCCCTATTCATTTCAATAAAAATGCACGGCACTGTCTAAAATGATGTTTGTCTTTGAAGAACTGGTCATATTGATGATGATTCATACCGATACAAATTTGGTAAAGATCGCACGACTGATAGCTGAGATATAGATGAGGAGAGGCCGTTTGAAATGAGATACGCTGTATACTTCATCAGCTTTCAAATGTAAATGAATAAATAAGTGAAAATTGAATCATCACTTGGATTTATAATGCATTATTGTGCTAAGTATACAATGTGGATCAGCGCATTTTTTTTAAAGCTATTATAAAACATGGTGTAAAATCCGTATAAAAATATGGTATTATTTTCTTCTTATGAAAATAGAATATTTTGAGTTTCCACAATCGAATTACAAACATTATCACGAACCACCCAGTATATTCTTCTGGAATTTGGTACACAAGTCCTCTCCCTTCTACTCAATAAGCGACTCACCTATCAGTCACGAGTAAAATCTCTATGTCCGGATTTACGAAAATTGATCATATTTCTGGCCCCCGAAAAGAACACCCTGTATCCTCGAATTCCCAAAATCCGCTTGAATATTTGAAAAGTGTGCAAAAGAAACTGAATCGAATGGTGTACTTTTTATTTTCCTGCTTGCTATTGTAACCTGGGTGAATAAAACAGTAGTGTGTCTTCACGTTTCTCAAAATTACTATTAAGTATACCACTTATGTGATAGTGGAAAGAAATTCTCGAAATAAGACGATGCAATGACATATCATTGTTGAAAAAATTGTATTACCTCAATTTTGTAAATTCGCATATACTAGGTGTTCTTTTGGGACCCAGAATATGATCAATTTTCTTTGATCCAGACCTGGATTTTACTTGTGACTGATGGGTGAGTCGCTTGGGTAGAAATGGTCTTGTACACCAAATTCCAAAAGAATTTACTAGGTGGTTCGTGATAATTTTTGTTATTCAATTGGGAAAAGTCGGAAAAACTCAAAATATTCCATTTTTACCTATCCAAATGCATTGAACTTCACAGTCAAAAATCATAATTTCTTTAGTAAAATAGCATGCGGGAAAATAACAAGTACATCATTCGATTCAGCTTTTTGAGCTCTTTTCAAATATGTAAGCGGATTTTGGAAATTCGAAAATACAGAGTGTTCTTTTTGGGATCCAGAAATATGATCAATTTTCCTCAATCCGGGCATGGATTAGGTGAGTCGCTTGGATGATAAATGGGAATTGTATACCAAATTCCAAAAAAATATACTGGCTGGTTCGTAAGTTAACTTGATAACACATCCTTTATATATATATAAAACTTGTGATGATACCTCGGATGATACCCTACAAATATGGTATATATCAGAACCGCAACTTGGCGAGCTCAACCCGCCGTTTAAGTATTTCCGTTTCCCAATGGGGCACCCTGTATAAATCTTATTAACTAATTCATTTTTCGAAGTCAAAAGAAGTCGAATAAAGCAGATGTGCCTCATGGATTTTAATAAGAAAACCGAGAAACACATTTTCCAAATATCATCTCATATTTACCTATTTTTGTTTTCAGAACTCCTTAAATTTGACAGACGACCCTTCTAGGGGGAGATATATATTACTAATATGACATCGATCATTACCCTCCCCCCTTGTAGATAGGGTGTCCCATTCAAAATATATTGCCAATTCTAGTTTTTCACGGATCAACTTGTATTTTTTCCAAATAGCTTTAATTTGATCTACACTGTATACAATTAATATTCTATTATCACGAAATGTATGGTTGCGTGTTCGCAGTAGGTTAAATAAATTCAAACACTGAAGAATGCTCTATCTCAAGATTAAAGTAACATATCACCTAAAAACTACTACTATAAGAGCCAAAAAATTGTTAAATTGCTGATTTATCAAACCAGATATATATTATAATAAAATGAATTCGAAAATGTAAACCTAGCTACTTATTCATCCAGATATTTTAGTGAAAAATGCAGTGTTTATTTTGGTTTCTATAATCCTCCATATCAAAGTAATTCGTGTTATACTGGGTGTTTCAAAATTCAGTATCTATCGGGATTTCAGTGGCTTATTTTTCATCTGAAAATAAGACTTCTTTTTTTCCTATATAATAAACACGTGCCCTCAAACGCTTCGTTACCAATCTACAGAGCGTTGAAATTTCAAGAGTTTTTTCATGTTTTCTTTATATAGCTCTGTTAGTTTTCGAGAGATCAAATCTGAAACTTAGGTCACGTTTTAGGGTTCACATCATAGTCTGCTGAGTGATTGTGAGAATATACAGGGAGATATTTTTTGAGGTGGTAAAGCTCTTTTTCGCTCCATAAACATTTTTGTAGTGTGCCACTGCTAGATTTCGAAATACGAAATGAGTTCTTTGTTTTGTTAATAAACTTTTTTGCCTCTTGAAATTTTTTCTCATCGAGAAAAAAAATAGTTATTTTTTCTGTGACGGGAAAAAAGTTTGGCATTTCATCTCTGTTGGCAGGTTATAAAATGTCACTTTTCATAAATTACTTTTTTCCGTGGATATACACGGGAAAAATATTAGATTTTAGCTCACACAACCTGAAGCTAAAATCTACTACTTTTCTCCCTTGTATAATAAATAACTATTATTATATAAGGGAAAAAAGTAGTAGATTTTAGCTTCAGGTTGTGTTGAGCTGAAATTTAATATTTTTCCCGTATAATATACACTATTTTTTTTCTGTGACAGAAGAAAGGATGAATCAATATTGAGAAAATATTACATTATTTTGAAATCTGAAAATTATCGACGTGACATTTCAAGTTTTTACCAGTAGGGACACCTGCGTTGTAGGCATCTCTATCATTCTTTTGATATCTGATGTCACTTCTGTCAGTCTAATTCTGTGATTTCATTTCAAATAATTGCGAATTTAGTGGTTGTTTAGTAATATACGTAACCGCGAAGTCGAATGGAAGATAAAAGGACTTGCAGTTCTTTCTCGAAGACGGTATTATTGACTCATTTTTCGGAACTATATAGCACAACAAAAGCCGTCAACAGTGTATATATATGTGATATATATCCGGGAAAAAAGTACTCACTTTTTTCCCACGGGATAAAAGTAATTTATGAAAAGTGACATTTTATATCCTGCCAACAGAGGTGAATGCCAAACTTTTTTCCCGTCACATAAAAATAGTTATTTATTACACAAGGGAAAAAGTAGTAGCGGAGGGAGACAAAAAACCGTGAGCTAAAATCTAATATTTTTTACGTGTATAATACACAATTTTTTTCTGTGACAGAAGAAAGGACGAATCAATATTGAGAAGATATTACATTATTTTGAAATCTGAAAATTATCAAATATCTGATGTCACTTCTGTCCGTCTAATTCTGTGATTTGATTTCAAAAAATTGCGAATTTTTCACCAATCCGGACGAAGTGTGTCGTAGAAATTGAAAAGATACACTCGTAGTTCGTAGTGTTATTCCTGATCTTTCTGATTCTGATGAAAGTTTTTTTGAAAAATACGATTCAGAATTTGCTTTTGGGTGTATGATAAATTGACATTCATCATATATATCCTTTTTTGTATGTTCATAATTTATCTGAGAATATTCCCTTTCAACGATTCAGAATGTCGAAATTTTGACATTTAGAAAGAAAATGAGTTGTCCAAGTCTGGCTCTGGAATTTTACTTCCATATAGTAGGCCATCGTGTGGTGTGTCAGTAGAGGTAAATTGCTGGTGAATTTCAGGCGAAAACATCGAGACGTACCTGAAATATCGTTCATCAAAGGTTCGCCCCGAATTCAAATAATGCCCTGTATTTCTGTTACGAATAGGAAGAATATATTTTTTCACATTTATATCAACTCACCTTGACTTCCTATATCCGCTATTAGGCTATAGCTGGTTAGTCATGACTCACCTTGTATAAAAGATTAAACGACATTTGGAAGTCGGTGCCACACTACCTACATAACGAGAATTTTCTCTTTTCAGAATCTGAGACAATAGTGAAAATTAATTCACCAAGATGAATTTGATGTTCAGAAAAAACTTCCGGGAGCAAAAATCCGGATGTTTGGTGGGCAAGGGAACGAAAAGCCCGGTGGGACGTCATACAAGTAAGAGAACTAGTAGAGAGGCAGGATATACAGCTATGGAGGAGCATCACTATAGAACGCACTTATTTTTTAGTCCACCACGATGTAGTTTCAGTCCGGACGAAGAAGATGGTAATTTCAACATTTTTCACACTACCTATACACTATTATTCACGAAAATATATACAAACTGTGCCCCAAGACTCATAAAATAGACAGGTGGCCTTATAACAATCTTTGTCATATTACCTACCTCATATAGGTAGTTGAACAATTTCAATTGATTTCTTCTACAACAAACATTCGGGCAGGCAGGAGCGACCTCAATCAGGGCCTACTCTATCTTACCTCAATATACACATATACTTATGCTAGAATTACAAAAGTCCAACTGATGACTAGACTGTCAATCTTGCAACTATTGTCCACTATCAATTATTTTCAGAGATAGAAACTAAAGATACATAAATTTATTCAGTGACCAAAGTATTCGAGTCATTGAAAACAAGGAAGAATAAACATTGAATGTATAATATGCCTACCACACCGACATAAATTACTAACTTCACTACCTGATTGTGATCAAGATGCGCTAAATTTCATGGACCCACTGAAATCTCCTAAAGACTCGTTATTTCTCTATCCAGTAACTGAAACTGAAGTTCATGAAGCCATTCTAAAATTGAAAAATTCGTCTTGTCCAGACATTTACGAATTGACTAGCAAAGTAATTAAAGGTACCAGTTTTTTCCTTGTTGAACCTCTAACTGTTCTCTTCAACCACTGTTTCTCTAATGGAATATTTCCTGATGAGTTTAAGCTAACCAAAGTGATAGCCATTCATAAAAAAGGTGACAAAAACATCATTGACAACTACCGACCTATATCAATTATACCGATAATTGGTAAAATATTTGAAATAATCATCAAAGACCGCTTAACATCTTTTTTCACTCGACAGAATACGCTACATGAGAGTCAATTCGGATTCAGACAAAACTGTTCTACTGTTCAAGCAATCCAAAAGCTGGTATCTGACATTATCAATGGATTTGAAGAAGGAAAACATACCATAGTTAATATGTGTGACTTGAGTAAGGCGTTCGACTGTGTATCTTACCCAATACTTTTAGCCAAGCTACATTTTTATGGTCTACGAGGAACAGCTCTGAAATTAATCGAATCATACTTATATGGAAGGAAACAATCGGTATATATGGATAAACATTGTTCTGAAATTAACAACATCCAGTTTGGGGTCCCTCAGGGCTCCATCCTTGGGCCACTCCTACTTATCATCTATGTCAATATTTTTCATTACATGAGTCCAACTAAATGTATTTGTTATGCAGATGACTGTACTATCTATGTATCTGATGAAAGAATTGATGATTTTGACAATACTTCCAAAGTTTTCCAATCAAAAGCTGAAACATGGTTCATTTCCAACTGTCTGAAACTAAATAACAGTAAAACCCAAAATATTGTATTCTCTACTGATAACGCTATTGCCAAAGGTTCTGAAGTTAGACTACTTGGTATTGTCATGGATGATAAATTGAAGTGGTCAGCTCATATTGAGCAATTGAGTAAAAAATTGAGCTCCAATATTTACCTATTAAGAAAGTTGAGTAGATTTGCTAACATAACAGTATTGAAAACTGCATATTTTGGACTATTCCATTCCCATATTAACTATGGTATAACTATCTGGGGAAACGCACCTGACTCCATGAGAATATTCAGACTCCAAAAAAGAGCCTTGAGAATAATTGCGAAAGCGAATTATAGAGATAGTTGTCGTCCAATATTAAATTATGAAATACTCCCTTTACCGTGTATCTACATCCTCAATTGTTTGTTAGACATCCATAAAAATAAATATAATTATCAAAGAAACGAGGATTTTCATAATTACACTACAAGAAACTGTAAGTTGATTCGACCGATTAGACATCGCTTAAACACATCTGAACGTAACTCTATAGATATAAAATTGTATAATATTCTCCCTGCCAATATCAAAGATACACCTATTCATCTTTTCAAGAAAAAAATTCGTAAATTTCTGTTATCCCATTGCTTCTACTCGGTGGGGTAATACCTGGGGGCCGGAGTGGGATCATTTGAGTCTATATAGATTCATGAATTAACAAATCTGGAAAATGAAATAAATGAATAAATTACATGAAAATAGTGAAACAAAGAGAAATTATGCCTATGCCACGGGGGATCAGTCTTCACCCAGTTTAATTTTAATCTGTATTTTTTTTTTGTATTGTATCATTCTAATTCAAATTTTTACCTATATACTTTGACTTGACTTTCCACAAATGAATTTAATTTTGTAACGTGGATGAATAAATGAATAAATGAATAAATGAAAATAACTAGACCGTATTAACGCCTTAATATCGAAGCTCATTTATTAACGAGATCGAACTTGGTTCGACATTTCATATGATACAGTGCCCGTCTAAAGTTTTTCTCCCCCCCCCAACTAATTTTTGAACCACTCGGTACATCGCAAAAAAATTTGTAAGGCTCAAATAGGAGATGAAATCTCACGTTTTTAGAAAAAAATAACAACTCAAATTTTTAAAATAGCGCCTGAGCGCCATCCGATTTCTTTTTTATAGAATTATTCAATCTTCGAACTCTCTTAGAAATCCCAACAGTTTAATCTAATAAATTCCTGAATTCATTATTCCTCGATATAATGTTTTCAATCAGGTTTGCCTAGGAAAAAAAATCAAAGTGTTCCCGCGATAACGAGAATTGATTGAAAGCAACATATTCGAGTTTCTGTGGGGTTTGAAATGACCAAAATGTCACTTTTCAAACGTAAATATCTCAAAAAGTATTATTTAGTGAGTATAGTGTATCACATAAAACTGTTGAGAATTATGAAATTTCAAAAATAGAATAATATACGGGTTTCCATTTCAAAACATTATTCAAGATGGCGCCCAACCGCCATTTAAACATTGAGCTGTCTTATTTTCATAAAAAAGAAGATTTTCATGTCCTAGCCATCCTAATTTCATTGCGATATACCAGCCCAGTTAACACAAATTGATCTCAGAGACGTCAGTACACTTCACATTCATGATTGAGATCACACCCGCGATTCGATTTGTGAATCACGTCGACATCTCCAGATCCTCTATTCCGGACCCTTTTGGTCATTTTTCGCTTCACATTTAGATGCCGAATGGGACTCAAAAGTTAGCTGAATGTGACTCCAGATATCACGTTGAAATAAAACTCACATTGAGGTCACATTATAATCAGAATGTGAGGTTTAGAAGACCATCGACCATTTCTGAATGTGAGGTTATCTTTTCGATTATTATACTGGTTTCGTAGCGTCCCTGGAAGAATCATATTGTGCGTCTCAGAAATGCTACATACACATTGATTTTTGATGTCTCAAGTGAAATCACATCTAGATTGATGAAGGTATTCAATGAGAGAACTAATCGGTCTCGAATCTCTGTCAAATAGATCAATCAAGGGTTTCACAAGGCAACTCGATTTTATTGAAAATTAGTCTCATTACACATCAGAATAGGTAAGTACGTAGGTACATGTTATGTTGAGCAAAACTACTTAGATATAACAATGATTGAAATTAGAAAAACAGCGCAGGCCTAGACTTTTTCGAATAATTATACAGGGTTATATATCTCCATGAGTTAACGCGATGAATATGGAGAACTGAAAGTAACACAAGAGAATCCAATATTTGCTCCTCATCTCTCCTTCCGTTGTAGCATGGTAACCAATCCCTGCTCAGAATTTCAAATTGTTCCAAGGTTGTCCAGATGACTTTTGTGATTTGACATCTGAAAATGAATATAGAAACAATCAATTGATTTCATTTTGCCCATTTCCTGTTCAGAATATCTTATAGAGAGTGAGTAGAGAACCATAATGAGAGTATTGAAAAATGTTCAAGTCACTTTCATATCTACGTGGAGTCGTGTAAGATTGAAATTATTTATGAGAAGATGAAATCACACTGCATACCTACTGTTCTATACCGGGTGACAAAGAAGATAGAGAATAGCTGCGGCGCATTTTTTCCTTCCATTCATAATATTTTGCAATAATTTTGTTCTTAATCAGACTTTCCCAATATAGGTACAATCAGAATATGCATGTTCACTTATACCCTGATCCCAAAATGATATATTCCAAGGTATCATTGTAAGTATCATCATATAGTCTTGAAATGGCGACGTGGTGTCGTCTACCCTGTCTTCATTGTCAACCAGTATATAGGTATATTATTGTATCAAGTTATGAACGTTGTAGTTACTTACCCTGTAACTTAGATGAGAAACACACAGTATCTTTATTCACAATCATGATTTTCGATTAGAAAGAGATGCTTATTCAGACGCCAAACACGAACTGCATACCAACACCGAATGAACTGATGCACTGAAACAACGAAATGGACGAGACAAGAGCATGCCGTCGCTAAAGAATTTACAGACACGTGTACATCAGTCAGACCGACACTGACCGAGTGTGTACGAAACTTTACATAAGTCACATTGTGCGCTACATTCATGAGTATGCGAGTACACTGATATTTCCAAGTATTGTTCGATATTACTTTCATAAATGAATTTCCTTGAGATGTGAGAGAGATTCACATATTGAAGCATATTTTCGTTTCTTCATTCTGCACAATGTGAATCAGTTTGTCAATTCAGATACATCAAATTATGACTCTCAACGACTGAAATTTCAGATTCTAAAATTATAGTCGTTGTGAAGTTGAGGGGCCTCATAAATATTATATCCATATTGGTCTCAGATCCAACAGAATGTGATGAAATTTGCGAACTATCTGTCACACAAGGAATTCCTTGTAGATATCAGCGATGCAATATTGTGATTTGCTTTTGTGACATCAACTGCCATGAATGCGACATCTCATAGATGTTTGTGTTAACTGGGAGGTTGTTCAAAAATGAGTAGGGGAGGGGGGACGGACTTTGGACGAGTACAGTATGACTCGTAATTTTGTTTCCGAACTCCAAGAGATATGACTTTATATGTCATTAATGACAGTTTGAGATTTCTTGTGCATTGAGCAGAAGCATTTTCAGGCGAGC